CTGAATTCGCCTACCCTCATCATCGTCCAAATTTCACACGTGGTCACGATTGTCCGGTAATATTTTATTTTTCATTTGTTTTCTATAAATCGAAATGACCTGAAATTTGGAAGATATGTACATCTTACTGAGGCGCATCTAATAAAAATATAAAAAAAAAATTTCACAAAAAATAAATGGATCAAAATACCCTCAAAATATTTCGGGGTATTTTGGTCAATGCTTTTCATGTAAAATATTTTTTTTATAATTTTCTAAAGATTTCCCTTTTTGATAAATACACACTTCAAGTTTCAGGTCATTCTGATTTGTAGAAAAACAACGAAAAATAAAACACTATCAAACAATCGTGACCGTGCGATGAACTTTGGACGGTAATGGACGTAGGCAAAATCACTGTTCATTTTTGCCTATAGGCATTGTGAAGTGTTTTCCTACATATATATATATATTTCACAATCCTTAAAAATACAAAGTTTAATGTTAGAAAAGATTGTGAATGATAGATTTACTAAATATATGATTTCTTTTTAAAACTAATTATTTTTTATACTATTTTTCTCACTAGTCAAAGGTGTATATGTAATTGTCACTAAAAGATAATACGTATTTTGTCAATACGTATCTTTATAAGAATAGGGTTGAGATTTTTATTAAGGGTTGGTATTGCATCCTTATAGTGTGGATTGTTAAATGGTGCACAAAGAATTTTAATGATTTGGATTGAACCGAGCCTCATCTTAGGGCCAAAAATCAATTTCATTTTTTTATGTTTTGCTTCTAATTGAAGAATTACATAGAGCATAATTTAGGTTTTTGCTTCATTTTTAGAAGGAGTATTAAATAAAAATAATAGGTTTTCATCTTTGTAAGGTTAGGGTTGAATTGTTTTTACTAGGGGTTGGAATTGCATCCATATGGTGTGGACGATTAAATGGTACGCAACCACCTTTTAATGGTTCAAATTTAAGGGCCAAAAACTAATTTTATTTTATGTTTTACTTCTAATTTAAGAATAATATGTATAATAATTTAAGAATTATATGTATATGTTTAAGCTTCATTTTTATAAGGAGAATTAAATAAAGATACCCAAATATACTTTCAATAAAAATAATTATCAAAATATATTTTCGGATATTTTTGTCATTCACTATTTAAAATATTTTTTGTTCAGTTCTCTTTCTAAAAATGAATATACACCTCAAATTTTAGATTAAATAATAAATAAAAATAAAATTTATGCCATTAGATATGGCCTTGTGAAATCTCAACTATTGGAAGGGTACTTGTGCACCTTCCATGGTCCACATGATGTGGACAGGGTACTTTTCCTTTTACTAAAGTACCGATGTATTGTAATGCTTCAAGACACTAATTTCTAAATATCATTGTAGTTTTATGAAAATTTTAAATGTATTCTAACTTAATGATTAATGTACCTATAAAACTAATATTTGAAAGAAAAATTAATGACTTTTTTATAAGTACATCAATCACAACATATTTTTGGTAGCAACCATATTTTATTGTTAACGATAGACCAGCCAAGGCTTTTCAATTGTTAACAGTAACATTGAGTCCTATAAATAATATTTAGAAAAGAGGTGTAAACTATCATAATTAATTTAAATACCTTTTTATTTCATGATTGCAAGATGAGTAAGTATATTTTTGTTATTAAAAGGGCATTGTGGATAGTTCAACTAAAAGAAAATTGTATTGAAGGAGTTGAAAATCTAGGTACTTTATTCATATAAATGTTTTGTTTTTTAGTGAAAATTTAAAGTTATCATTTAAACTATGACAAAAACAACCCTTATTTTTTAGTATAAATAATAGCAATATCCTTTCAATGATAAATATGCCTTTACTAAATGTAGGGTGTTAACAATAGAACATACATACACACATGAGCACAAACACACACACATATGTGGATTTCTCTATGCTTCACACTCTATGATATTCTACACGTTACATTTAGAAAGGGATGTGAACTTATAAAATTGCCTCAATTATTCATTTCCTTATTCCAATGCTATAAAATGAGTAAGGGTATTTCTGTTAATAGGAATGGCATTATGATATTTACACCAAAAGACAAGGATAATTATGGAGTGAAACTCTAGGTATTTTATTACTTTGGGTTATGTTAGGGTGCTCACACTATAGAGCATTTTAGAATTGTACTCAACAAATTTGGACATATATATACCCTTGCTTTATACATAAAACATTTTTTTAATAAGGGTATTTTTTATCATTAGGATGGGTGTGCGTCATCTACATGGGGTGTGATATCACCTATATGGAACATTAAGTACCCTAAGGTACTCCATGTGGGTGGGTGTGTCACACCTCATGTGG